AGCGCACTCAGCCCATTTACGATTGCATTGTTGTTGTTGCTATTGTTGATATTTTTTGCTGTTTGTAATTGCATGGCCATCTAATATGCACTTAGCTGGTAACTGGTGGTTATTTATCCATTTATCGTATCTAGTCTATGCACTCTATTTCACTTTAAACACACATTTAAGCTAGCCAATTAAAAATACCAAAACACACATCTCCATATACATATATATATATATATATATATATATATGTATGTTAAAATTAGCCATCAGATAACATATTATTCAATATTGAAAATTTGGTCTCAGATAGTTGCAATAAATTTCAATAGTTTTTTTTTATTTTTGTGGTACAGTTCATTAGTAGTGGAACTTTGGTAACAAATTAGGTGGGCATTAAATAATGGATTTCACGGCTAAAAATTAATTATTTTGAATTGAGCACAATTATTGAAACATGCAATGGAAATAAAACACAAAAAATCAGTGAAAACTGTCAATTTGCTTAATGGTTTAATTGTGTACGGCAAATTATGCACATTAACAGGAAATGTTAGTGAGGAATGCCATTGGCAGAAGTACATTTTTAAACTGTCATATAAATTTCATGGAGTGCATTGCGTATACGCCGCGATTACCAACTGTCTGTCAGCCACAAATTGCAGGTCTATGTGACGTTTTTGCCGGCAAGCCAAAACTGCAAGTCAGCACTACCAGATGTATATGAATGTGTGTGTGTGTGTATGTGTGTGTGTGTGCATTTGTGTATGTGTATTGTGGTAGCTGCGAGGGAAAACCAATTGAAAATGCTGGCAGACGTCGGCTCCTTTGAAGGCGCCAACCGCGACCTTGTAATGCGCTCTCGCTTCCACAACTCCATTGAGTCATATCTTTCTCTCGCCATCCCTGTCCATCGACTGTGTGTGTGCCGGCGTTTTTTGGCTTTTTAGCAGCATCATGCCAACTAATTTTCCAAATGACGCAAGTTAATTGCGTTGGCCCAGCCTATTGTCAAAGGTGAAAATGCGCAGACAGTCGCACAAAGCGGGGCGCATTCATTAAGCCAAATCATATTATAAAGTGAATATGTCGAGCAAAGGGAACCAAACGAAACGAAAAGAATAAGAACACTATTGCACATATTGCGGCTGGTAACCCTACACTGACAAAAACAGAACTGATTCAACTGACTAAGCCACTAGCTAATATTTAAGTAATCACATAATAATAATAGAAATCAAATGCAGAATTGTTTATAATTATTTTGGTTGAGCTCAAACCCTGCTTGAGTTGTTGAATTCATAAATAAAATCTTTGAGATCTTAACAATTAATATTAATAAATTTTAATTGGCAATAGAATAAATAAAGGATTATAAAGATAAAAAATATATAAATTGTTTGCCAATTCAACTTTAGAATCTTTTTTTACTTCTTAAATTTAAAATTTAAAATAAAAATATAATATAATATTTGAATATAGTTCTCAAATTGATATAAAACAAAATTACTTATACATATATTTAAATATAAATATATATTGCGCTTTTGTACACGTTGTGTACATTCGAAACATTTCTCGCTGTGTGGGGCGATAGACAAATCTATGGCATTTACGTCGCCTGCTGTTTCTGGGCAGTCAGGGCTACCGATGAGCCCTACCAATGAGCGACGCCCTGGCGCCTAACCGAGTTGAGAACACAACAAATTAGTCAATGACGCGGCGATCTTGCTCCAGCTGGCTCACAGTTCACATCACAGCAGCGACCTCAGTCACTGTGTATTTGTATATTTCCATTAATATATTATTGCTTAATTTCTTTTGTTATGCTGATTATGCCGACAGACAGTGGTGAGCCAACCAAACGAGGCCCATACGCAGGCCCAGGCCCAGGCCCATACCCAGGCCCATGCCCAGGCCCATACCCAGGCCCACAGACAGAGTGGTCCAAGAGTCAAGTCCAAGAGATGTTCATGGGAAAAACGGCAAGAGCATTGCATGATTTTCAATAATTTAACAGCCACAACTTGGGCGCATACATATTTCAATAATCTCCTGAAGTTTTTTTAGTTTTTTTGCTTTTTACCGCTGTCTGACAGTCAGTCTGTCTTTCCGTCCGTCCGACGAACCGGCAGGCTGCAACACATGTTTTGTGCTTTGTGTTCAGCATAAATGTTAATTTTAGTTTGTCTTGGTAATTTATCATTTTTGTATTTCTCATATTTTTTGTGTATTTCGCGTCGCGTCTTTAAACGCTTTTAATTAAAACCAATGCGCATGTGTAACTTTCTTAAGCAGAGCCCAAGATTAGAGGGCTCTACGCGCTCGACTCGAATAGCATAAGCTGGACTACTGTCTAGTCGCTCAATATACCACACAATATATATATATATATATACGCACACACACACATGGTAGAGGCCGCTTTGAACTTGGCCGACAGCACGTTTGTAAAATGATTGATGTGGTATTAATTTTAATAAACGCCTGTCCGCTCCATCAATATGCATATCGGGGCCCAACTCGATACTCGACTCCGACTACGATTACGGTCACAACTTTAACTCGAACTACGATCGCGACTGCTACTCCTACTGCGGTTCCTACCACATCTCTAGCCCAGTTTAAAGCGCATTTTGTTATGCGGTTCTACATTTAAAATAGGCACACGCAGCTGCGTGGCGTCTGCACTTTGTGCCCATGACTTTTACTGGACACTTGACTCTGGCGTCATATTTTTCGAACTTGTTGTTTGATGTTGTTGTTGTCGTTGTTGTTGTTGTTGTTGCTGCTGTTGTTGCTGCTGTTGTGGTTGCTGTGGCTATTGTTGCAGGTACGGTCATGAGGCCAAGTTCTCAACGACTGTCGGCTGTCTTGCGGCTATTATTGGCGTTACTATCCCCATTAAATGTGTCAGCTTATACAATTGCTCATCAGTTTGTCATCAGTTGCCACAAATTAGTAACTCAAGTCAAGGTGCAATGTTTATTAATCCATAGTTCAAGTAATCCGACTAATTGTATGTGATTTACGTTAACTTGCATTAAGACTGATTATTCATTTTGTATTTTAATATCTATTTTTCTTTTTTTTAAATCAGCATTAAATGAATTATATGATTGAAACGGACTAATGTCTTCTGAAGGTGTAATAGCCTAGGCCTTCGACTACTTGAATAGTTCATTTTTAACTTTGAAACCATCGAATATTTTTTAGTTAATTGCAAAAATTATTTGCAAAATTATCAGATCTGAATATTGAAAATGAATTTGAGCCAAAAGAAAAAGTAAATACTTTGAGTGCCGCATTGAGATCTTTGGGGTTAATGTTGCGTGTGTGTCTGTCACAATCATCATTAAGGTTATTCAATTTTATTATGCTTAAGCAGGAAATTATTTGTGTTACCACGTTGGCATTGCCCGAGTTAAGTGTTTGTAGGTCGAAAGCGGCACAGATCAAAGCTAAATTTCAGTTTAGGACCAGTGTGCAGAAATCATTATAGACTGCCTCTCGACGTGCACAAAATAAGATACATTAGCGCTTCGACTAATTCTCAGATGCTCAGATACCAAGTTAGTCAAATAGTTGTATGCTTTGTATTTCGTGCTTTATTATCAGAGGTTTGCACATTGCGAAAAGTCAATTATGTCTATGGAGCAACGTGAAAATGTGTTGAAAAGTCATAGTCTTATTGTTTATCTACAATCTCGTAATACGATACATGCATCGACATTAGATCACTCGATCAGTCGATCAGTAAAGAAAGAAAATCATTTCATCGTTAGCTTCACACCTCAAGTAGCCCAACTGAGCCAGAATAATTGATTTCAGAAGCGGCGGATACCTGAGAGCCTTCATAATTGCCATGTACTCTTCTATCTGTATCCGTATCTGTATCTGTATCTGTATCTGTATCTGTAGTGTCTGTGGCCTGCGTATCTGCTAAGCCGTAGCGTGAAATTCGTTTGCACACAGAGCGAGCAGCGCTGAACAAGCCGCACCTAATCGATTTAGGAACTGACTTTTGCTCAGTTTGCGGAGAGGATCGCAGACTCGTCAGCAGCATTAGATGTACTCGGTTTGATCATCAACAATGGCATCCAAAACCCATCGCATGGGTGAGTTTATTTTATAAATCATCTACCATGGAAATAATTCATAGATGGGCTCATTTTTACGCCACTTTCGTCTAATTGAAAAGAATGAAAGCAAATATATTTTCAAGAACTATAAGTGTGTATCGATAAATACAGGTCTGTAAGTACTGGGCTATCTCCCAATAAGATAGTGTAGTACGTACCAAAAACAGTCTCTCGACTGCCGCAGTTTGAACTGAAGCCCTTAGTGGGTTCTTCATAAAAATGCCACTGTTTTCATCTTAGCAAGGAAAGATATACGACAATGTTAATCAAAAAGCTTGCTCAGATCAACATAGTTTGTATTATAAAAAGTAGCATTATTTCTGAAAACTATATTGTTTCAATGGACCCGTTTCTCCTCACACTTCTTTGCAAACTAAAGTAAATCTAACGATTTTAGCTACTATAATCTGAATAGCTGATGTGTTATATATTTTTAAGCAATTTAACTTAAAGTTGGCATTTTCGGTAACAAGAAATTATAGAAGACGATTTAGACAAATTTAGCATTTTTTTAAAAAAGCCTAAATATTTATAACGTGTAAAAATTGTAATTCTCTTTTTTGAATATGACTCTTTTTTTCTTTCGATTTGCAGAGAGGCGTATGCAAAATAAATGTAAATAAAATTAAAACAATTTAGATAAGCTTAACTGAAGTCAACATTTTATTTTGTCAATACAAGCGTAGCCTTGTTGAATGTATCTCAAGAGTGCTGACCAGGAATACTCTAAACACAAATGCCATGTTGGCAACCCTGAACACACACTACAACTCTTTCAGGCATTATACAAATTTGCTTGCTGAATGATAATTGTAAAGGAGATCAATGACAATGTCTTTGAGCTGTGGATCATACGTATTTACCACTTACCGGATTGACTTGCGGCTTCTGCAAATGTGTCGCGATGTTTGTGATGTTCATGCCTGCCATAGCCGGAATCTGTGAGCCGTATAATTGACCGGCGGTCGGTGTCATGTCCGTTAACATTTTAGTTGCTGCTGCTGCTGCTGTTGCTGCTGCCGCTGCTGCTGCTGCTGCTGCTGTTGGCGTTGTAATTTTGAGGCGTACAGCAAGTGTATGTTTTTCGTTTGTTTTTTTTTTGTTTACAAAATTTTGTTTTTCTTCTTTTGAGGAGCTAGTTTTCACTCCAAAAACAATGCACACAAAAACAGTGTTGTTATGTTATTTAATGTTGTTGCTGTTGCCGTTGTTGCTCTTACTGTAGCTGCTGCTGTCTAAGGGTCACACAAGGATTAGACACAGAGAAACACGCGCGCTCTCTCGTCGCAAACAATAAAAAATATGCAACAAAAAGGATCTTAATAAGGATTCTAACTGCTTCAAATGCACTTTTCACTGTCACTTAAGCTGAGCGATTGCAATTGTTATAACGGTTATTATGGTTTATAGATATTTTGCCGTCGGCTGTGACTTTCACTTTACTATGTCAGTGACAGTGACAGTGACGATTTGACAGACTACCTCTCGCTCGCTCTATATATATATATATATATATATATATATCTCACTCTCTCTCTCCCTCTTTCTTTTCTCTCTTTCTTTTTCTTTCCAGATGTGAGCAAACAGCTTATCAAATAATGATGCCTGCTGCTGCTCCTGCTGCGACTGCTGCTGCTGCTGCTGCTGCTGCTGCTTCTGCTGCCACTGTGTGACTGTGACAGTGATTGAGGCAGTGACTGTCACTGTGACAGTGACTGTAACTGTGACTGCGACTGCGACCGTTGACGTACTATGTATGAAAAGGTGACTCGATGTTGTAAGACTTGCCAATTTGAATGGGACGCGAACGCCAGTTTCTGATATTTGACGACACACACAACTTTTGGATCAAGGATGAACACAAGCGGTAAAAATGCAAATGTACATATAATGTACATACACATCTATAGTACAACTCAAGCAAAACAATATTAACGCGTTGGCCAGCAAACAACGAACATAAAAAAAAAAATACAACCAAGAAATGTGATACAAACGCACTGGAGAACGCACTTGGAACTGTTATATGTTTGTTGATGTTATTATTATTATTAATATTAATATTATTATTATTATTGTTGTTGTTGTTATTGTTGTTTTCGTTGTTGTTGTGGTGGTTGTGGTTGTTGTTGTTGTTGTGGTTCTCGTTGTCGCTTATTTGCAGAGGCGTCGGCGGCGACGTTGGCGACAAGGAGGCGTCTGCACAAGCAAACAAAAATTTTTTTGGTATCCGCGCAAAAGTTTTCGGCGTCGTCGCTGATCGTTCAAAGGCTTTCAACTGTTTCACGCGATGCCAGCGCAAACAAAAAGCTTGGGCCCCGTTCTCGTGTTGTCGTTGGCGGCGACTGCGCTACGTCGTCAACGTCAAGCTGAAGGCGTTGTCGTCGTTTCAGCCTCAGCAGAGGGCGCGTCACAAACAAGTTGCCTGCTGCCTGCTGCCTGCTCCCGCCACTGCTCTGTGGCTGTGGCTGTGGCTGTCCCGCGCTGTGCCGTGAGAGAGAGAGCGCGATTTGCAATTGTTGTATCAATTTTCTGTGTGTGTTTCGTTTTTATTTCTCCTTTTTTTTTTTTTTCTTTTTTTTTTTTTGCTTTTTGTATGTTTCGCTTTTGCTGTGGTGCGCTGGCAAACTGAGACAGCGACAACGACAACGGACTGCAAGCAATCGCAATCGCAGCCTCGTCGACGCTACGTTCTCTCTCAGCAGCAACAGCAACAGCAGCAGCAAAAGCAGCAGAAGCAGCAGCGGCGGCGGCAGCAGCAGCGGCAGCAACAACAAACAGCAGCCATTCCCCCATTCATCATGACGCAGTTACTCGTAACATTGGCGCAGCGCTTGTGTGTGTTGGGCGCACAAAAGAGACAGCAATAAAGTTAAAAACCTACCACCACTGTGCTGATGATGATCATCAATGCCTCTGTGCTGTGTGCTGTGTGCTCTGCCTCGGTCCGATGATGATGATGTATTAGCCTAGCCACGGCGCACAGCCCGTCCGCTTCTTTCACTTCAGTTGAGTTTCGTTCATTCATAAACGCCAGCCAGCAAGCACGCGCTCAAAACGAGTTTGAATTTTTTTTTGGCAACGCCCCCTTCGCATGCGTGCTGCGCACCGACGCGGTGCTATCGACCAATCGGAGCATTGTCTTATGCTGCATATGCCCTAACCTATAATTAGAGCGATGGCCGCTGTGCGAGCGAGACGGCTGTACGCCTGGCACGCGCGTCAACGCTCTAGCGCACCTTGTCTCGCTAGTCTCGCGTCTGCATACTCGCGCTCGCATAGCATAGCGAGCAGAGAGAGAGCGCGCACCTTGAGCTTGTAGCCCTCAGTCGCTGACTGCAGTGGAATCCCATAGCGTGCAAACGCAAAAATGTTGCGCAGTTTTTTTTTATCATATGGATACGATTTTAGTTTTTATACCCTGTGTATCCTGCACAAAATGGATACGTGGGGTATAACAAAAATCCAAAAACCCCGCAAACCAGCAATGTACATACAAAATTCTAAATATATTTTTTGGTTTAAGAAATCGGGTTTTTGTGACTTTTTCTCTTTTTTGTATACTGAGCAGGGTATTTTCTTGGTCGGGCACACTTTCGACTAGAGCGTTCTTATTTCTTTGGATGTGTTTATTTTTTTATTTACATTGAAAATTGTTGGGACTCGCTTCTTGGAATTATTGATTTAAAAAACAACACCCGCTCACAAAGTGACAAATTGCTTTCGGTGACTATTTATATAAAAACATATGTACACACATATATACATAAATATACATATTTATTTATTTATATATGTATATACACAATACTGAATGGAACAATAGAGACGTGCAAGTGTAAGTGACATAAAAAAGTAGTCGTTTGTAGCCTCTCCTCTATCCATAGGGATAGGCATATTTAGATTTAACAAATCAATAAATACCTATTTCAAATGGTTCGTAATATAATTTGTACATCATACATATGTAAATACATAAAGCGACTTACTTTCACTTTCTTCAATTTCCTAATCGCTGGCTCTAATATTATTATGCATATTGAATTTGAATCTTTTACTTGCAGACCCTTTAGAAGTAAACCACCCTTCGGTATATTTCTCCATTTATAATTTATTACCGTGAGATTTTCAGCGAATTTAAATGTTGCATCAATGCACACAAATTTACATATGTATACAATTTATGAATGTTGACAATTATCAAGTATGAATTGCATTTTCTTAATTGTATTGCTTTTTAATTATAAGTATATTCGTATTTGTAAGCATTGGTTTCAGCTACGAAACTAACTTATTTAAAGCAGTAATAGAATGACGGAGACTTTCACAACTCTAATACCGAGGACATCCTCCATCTGTAGAAATTGTGTAATTAATTGTCAAGCTCTTCACTGGCACAGTATGTGGACTACCTGGACTGTTGAATTTATTGAACATCAAACAATTTAATTGAAATCAAAATTGTTTATTGTATATCGACTTGATTATTTGCAACAATTTGTCAGTCTACATCGCCATACATATGTCTGTGGCTTTAATTTACAACATTCAGCATATTTCCTAAATAACCAAGCAAACACGAGACGAGCACAATTTGTAGAAAGTGCTTTTGCATCAGTTATTTTGTTTTAAATACAGATACACTCAACGAAAATGAGTCCATAATTTAATTGTAGCTGTTAAATAAATAAATAACCTTATACCGAAGAAAAAAAGTTACTATTCAATTCTGTTTGAATCATGAAGTCTGGGCTGATTTTAAGTGAAAGGATTTCCTCTTTTTTTTTGTTGTCCTTTTCTCTCTGTGCACATATTTACTTAGCAATGCTTGTATGTACATTGTTGTGTATATGTAGTTGTAATTGAGTGACACACCCCCAAGTGGCAGTTGGTGCACTTGAAAGTGCATTGTCGCCTAGACAAACGAAACATCCCAAGGAGTACAACAACAAATGCAACCCACTCTTAGACCGCTCAACGCGCCCAACCCCACCGAAACCACAAGACAAGCCAGCAACCCGAAAGTGTGTACAGCACATGCCGTTAGCCCGTAGGCCTTTCAGCTGTAGATTCTCGCAGATTATGTTAGACCATTCTAGACATTTTCTGTTACTCACATCTCACGACATTGCTGCGGGACCAACAACAACAACAACAACAACAGCAACAGCAACAAAATTAGCAACCACAACAGAATTTTAAGCGCCGGCTCCTACTAGTTACCATTCGGCAGTTGCCAGTTGCCAGTTGCCAGTTGCCAGTTGCTAGTTGGCCGTTGCCAGCTTTGAGGTCCAAACGAGGCCAACAAACTTCCTGTAAGAGCATGGCCATTTTTGTGGGGTTGTCGAGGTTGTGGTCTGTCCCATCAGCTGACCGACAACGAGTTGATAGAATTTATGCTCCGCTGCTGCTGTTGGTAGTTGCATAGTTCCGCAGCATCCATACAGAGTTGACTGATTGCATTCCCACATCGCCCACCCTCAACTCAACAAACTCAATTCTGTGAACGAGAGTGAGAGCGACAGAGAGAGAGAGAGAGAGAGAGACTCAGTGGTGGTCGGGGGGCGGGAGGGTTTTGTGGGTGCCTCGCTGCGTGACTGTGCCTCATCTCGATTGTGGGCGAATCAACGTCGTGCACTCTTTACATCTAAATTTCTATGTTTCGCTTATGCTCTCTCTTTCTCTCTCACTCTATTTCTCTCTTTCTTTCTCGCTCTCGCTCTTTCTCTCTCTCTCTCTCTCTATCTCTCTCTCTGGCACATGCGTCAGTCTCGAACACCAGCATCATCAGCATCAGCACAGGTGGGTGTTAACTTGGGTGGCTAGCTTTTTTGAGAGCCACTGATTGCCTATACCCCTTATACCTTATACCCTGTACCCTGTACCTTGTACCTTGTACCTCGTACCTTACCCATGCTACGCACAGAACTACAACAGCAGTTGTTACTTCAGCTATGTAACATAACGGTACAGTTTCCAAATCAAGCTAATAATAATACAACTCTTTCCAATCTTAATCTATATTTAATCTCTTTCTTCTTCTTCTCGCCTTCAGTTGAAAATTGGTTCAACTTATAAATATACAAATGTTGATAAATCAATTTTAAGTATTTCGCCAAGTTCAATTCGACATAATTTCCAACTTTTCAATATTATTATTATTAACAAATTCATTTTTGAGGAGCACTTACTACGAGAACTTTCAGCTCAACTCGGCTCAGATGAAATTCGAGGCCAACTGTAATTTTTAAGCGAAATATTGCTACAAGCGAAATGTAACTTCGAGCCTCAATATAAAGTTGAAATCGACTTTTGCAAATTCCGAGAGTATCGGAAAAATTCAAATTGATTTAACTCCAAGCCAAATCAGCCTTGCAAAGTGCAAAGTACTCTGCATTTGAGTTCACACCTTTTAGCAGTCACTTACTGTATATATATATATATATATATATATGTTTATATGCTTGTG